GGGAACGACCTCTCTGTTGCCCCTTCTTTTCGGGTGGGTTCTCACCTCAGTCCTTATTCAGGGTCATACCTTGACGCCTTGGTGCTGGGCTATGTCTGTTCTGCTGACCCGAAGCCAAATCCATCAGGTAAGGCAGAAATCTATAAATAATTTTAGGAGAATTGACATCTGTACAATATTCTGCTTACTGTAAATGAGCGTGGTGTATTGCTCTATTTGAGACTTCTTTTACCTAAGTCTATTAGTAACTTTTTTAAATATTTGCTTCCATAAAGATCATGTACATATTTCTTAGTTCTTTTTATAGGTATATTTTGGATATTGCTACTGTTTGAATGGTATATTTTCCATGATATATTCTTTTATTTATTTTGTGTGGCTAGACTTATGATTTTGCTGTAGTGTTCTACATCAGTTTCCTGAAGTTCCTTATACATTTGAATATTTGACAGCCAATTTCTTTGGAGTTTTTAATTAGGGGATCTTATTATCTCTTTTCATAATCCGTAACTTTTATTTTGGTATTCCTATGTATGGCTATATGCTGGCTATGCAAACCAGTCCAGGTTTGAAAGGTAGAAATGGTACCACACCTCCATGTCCTGTTTTGACTTTAGTGGGAATGTTTTAACATTTCACACTTATGTATGTGTGCTGTTGATTTTAGAATATGGAAATTCTGTTCTGTTTGTTAACAGTTACTGGCACAAACTGGTGTTGAATTTCTATCAAAGATCTTTTTCTCTACTCCCAGAACATGATAAAATGCTTTCTCTTCTCTCTCTGTTAACCAATTCACAGTTTTTTCTAATGTCATATGATCTTTGCATTCCTTGAACACAGCCTCTTTCTTCATTTAATTCGCTGCTGTACTGGATACGCTATGAATTTATTTAGAATATGTATATGAGTAAGCTTGACTCAAATATTTTTTTCTTGGGGCATACTCATCTGGTTTTTGTATCAAGGACAGTTAGCCTGTTAAAGTGGTTGAGTAATTTCCCATCTTCTTGTACAGCTTGTAAGAGCTTACTTAAAGTGCTGATTAGCTTTTCCTTCATCATTTGGTGTAACGACCTTTCAACCTGGCTGATCCTGGTACAGTTTGAGGGCAAAATGTGCCCTGAAAATATATCAGGACTGAGTTTCAGGTTCTATTGGTCAATGAAAGTTTTATATTTCTTCATGGACCTATTTAGTGATTTATATTTTGCTACAAATACTTCCGTTTTACTTGGGTTTTCAAATTTAAAGACATATTTATAATAAAATCATTTTATTATAGAAAATTCTCCATCACATATAACATTACAAAGGATAAAGTAACTCAATATACCTGATGCTCAGTATCATTTATCTTCAATAGTTATAGGAAGCTTGTTCAGATTAAGGTTTATTTATATATTTGTCTCTTTGTTGGCAAAATCACTCCTGAAGTGACATTGTGTTAATTCCATTAGGAGGCACAAAACATCTGTTGTTTCCTTTGTGGTAATGTTGGCGGTCATTGAGGATCATCAGTGTCATCCATTAATCCATTAGGGGCTGCTGAATTGTAATTCTGGAGTTCTGTCATTTCTTCTGAGATTATTAGCTGAAATATATCTATAGGTAGAACCATCTGTTATCTTCCATTCTGTTTTCTTGAGGCAAGCCTTACAGTTGCCCCATTTTACTGCCTAGAGAGCTAGATATATAGATAAAGAAAGCTAGATTTTTTTGTCTAATCAATATCAGTAAACTCTTTAGCTCAAAATTGTATTTTTTGTAATTTTAAATAACAAATCTTGCTTGAGAACTAAATCAGTTAGTAACTGGATGAATAATTTATCCATTAATAATAATTATTAATGAGCAGCACTGGAATAATCCATGTTCAGGCCCTAATCTTTGTCACATGACATTATTTGTGCCTACAGATAGTTATAATTTTGAAAAATAGAAAATTTTACTATAATTTATTCAAAGCTAGTTTTCTTTGAAGGAATATATTTTCTATGTTCTTTCTATATAGCTAACCAGTCAGTATGCAAGTTGAGTTTTATTTTTTTCTTTATAAATTCTAATGTGGACATGGCAGCTAGTTTTAATGTTATTACTATCTTAGCTTGTATGCACGTACATAAAAGATAAAATTGTGGACTCCCTCCTCTGGGTTCACAAATTTATTCAATATAGGGCTGTCCTAATAGACTCAGGACTCTATCCATTAATGTGGCCAATGCAAAAATATCTGACTTGTTTGAATAATATGCTAATATGTACTCTCAATTTATTAAAAAAGATTTTCCAACTTCTCATTTTACTTGTTAGTAAATTAAATACTTAGATTTTTGAATGACTATTTACTTCTTGAGTAGGTCACTTTTTAGACACGTTTCTAGGTTAATAAGCCTGGCAATACAAAATGTTGTCGAGCAAAGACACTGAAACTATGGATACAGTCAGGTTATAAAACCAGTTGTCACCATTCAGCTGTTAGAACTGTATTCCCCTGTGCCTTCACCCATCCTGCTCCTCTGTGAGTGATGTAGTAACACGTTCTCAAGCAGAAGTTACCTAGAATGATTTGGCCCCTAACAACAATTTTAGCCTTTCAGTGGCTGAAGACCTTTTTCACCTTCACCTTCTGCTCCAGTCCAACTTAGACAAACTGTCCACTCTTAAACCTGCTGCTTCCAATACCATTTCAGCCATTTCAATGGCTACACTGCCAGTGAAGGACTGAATTTCTGAAGGCTTCCTCATCCCCATGCCTCATTCTCTTGGACATCAATTCCAGCCAAGATAACGATATTTAGGGGACACAGGACATATCTGTTAATGATCCAGACTAATTCAGAGGAATGGATGCACGGTCTTTGAATGAACACAATACCTGTGACACCATGCTCAGATTAACATAGCCAGGAGCCAATTTGGCAGATCAAGAAAACTCTATTTTGGGTTTTTTTTTTTTTTTTTTTTTGGTTTTTAAGTTTGAGTTAGTTAACATACAGTGCTATACTGGTTTCTGGAGTAGAATTCAGTGATTCATCACTTATATACAACACCCAGCACTCATCACAACAGGCCCCTCTTTAATACCCATCACCCATCTAGCCCATCCCCCACTGGCCTCCCTCCATCAACCCTTAGTTTGTTCTCTATCGTTAAGTATCTCTTATGGTTTCTTTTGCTCTCTCCTTTTTTTCTTTTCCCCTTTCCCATATGTTCACCTGTTTTCTTTCTTAAATTCCACATATGAGTGAGATCATATGGTATTTGTCTTTCTCTGACTGACTTATTTCACTCTAGCATAATACACTCTAGCTCTATCCACATCATTGCAAATGGCAAGATTTCATTCTTTTTGATGGCTGAGTAATATTCCACATCTACTTTATCCATTCATCAGTTGATGAACATTTGGGCTCTTTCCACAGTTTGGCTATCGTTGATTATGCTGCTATAAACATCAGGGTGCATGTACCCCTTTGAATCTGTATTTTTGTATCCTTTGGGCAAATACCTAGTAGTCAATTGCTGGATCATAGGGTAGTTCTCTTTTTAACTTTCTGAGGAACCTCCATACTGTTTTCCAGAGTGGCTGTACTAGTTTGCCTTCCCACCAAGAGTACAAGAGGGTTCCCATTTCTCCACATCCTCGCCAACACCTGTTGTTTCTTGTGTTGTTGATTTTAGCCATTCTGACAGGTATGAGGTGGTATCTCATCATAGTTTTGATTTGTATTTCCCTGATGATGAGTGATCTTGAGCATCTTTTCATGTGTTTGTTAGCCATCTGGATGTCTTCTTTGGAAAAGTGTCTTTTCATGTCTTCTGTCCAATTCTTAACTGGATTATTTGTTTTTTGAGTGTTGAGTTTGATAAGGAGAACTATTTTTGAACACATAACTTTGCCACTTGCCAAGCAACCAAAATAACTGAGTAGAAAGTTTCTGAATAGAGGCGCCTGGGTGGTTCACTCGGTCGGGCAGCTGTCTTCGGCTCAGGTCAGATCCCAGGTTTCAGGGATCAAGTCCCACGTTGGGCTCCCTGTTCAGCAGGGAGTTTGCTTCTTCCTCTACCCTTCCCCCCTGCTCGTGATCTCCCCCTCTCAAGTAAATAAATGAATAAATTAAATAAAAAGAAAGTTTCTGAATAAACTTCAGAAATAAGAGAGTATGTTAATACTTCCTAGTAACTGAAAGACAAGGAAGTGTCAAGGGTACATGTTATTGAGTCAGGATCAGGATTAAGGTGAGGGGAGTGGGGGGCACCTGGGTGGCTCAGTTGGTTAAGCGACTGCCTTCGGCTCAGGTCATGATCCTGGAGTCCTGGGATCGAGTCCCACATCGGGCTCCTGGCTCAGCAGGGAGCCTGCTTCTCCCTCTGACCCTATCCCCTCTCATGCTGTTTCTCTCTCTCTCTCTCTCTCTCTCAAATAAATAAATAAATAAAATCTTTAAAAAAAAAAAAGGTGAGGGGAGTGGGAAATAAAATATTAAAGTTTTAAAGAGATGGGATCTGACCCTGCACTTGCATGACCCCAACAGTCTGTGCCTCACTTGTTTAACCCTATTTTCAGCCCATGGATGGTGTCTTTATTTAAAAGTGTGATATTTTCTCATCATGGATTTTTGGCATTAACTTTATTTTATTTAATATTGAATGAAAGCATAATTTATTTTGATTACTGAGATTGTTTGGTCTACCCCTGACCTTAAATTTTGAGCTCAAAGTCAGTGCCTCACTTGCCTCACCCTAGCCCCAGTCCTGGTGAGTCTTCAGTGTTTAGTATTGATCCTGTCCTCACACACTAAGAGCAGTAATACTTAAGTATACCTGGCCTTGTTTTAAATTCTAGGCATCATTCCACTGTCTGCCTTTGTGATCTTGAGCAATAAAATTACCCTATATGAGATTATGTTAAAAAAATTTACAGTGGAGAATAAGGATATTCTTTTTACTGAATTGGTGGGATGATGAAATAAAAGTATATATGAGAAAACACTCTGTAAGTTTTACAAATTGCTAGTTGTTTAGAAATATTTCTTGGATTGAAACTTTGAGAAAGTCCTAAAAATCAGTCTTGATCCAATCTTTGAGATACCCAGTACCTTAGTTTTTCATCGCTGCATAACAAATTATGTCAAAC